TAGGAATAGAATAAGGGTTTTATTTTGGCAGTTGCATTTCAGCAGTGCTGGATCTGGGAGGATTGATCAGATTTTATTACCAGCAGACACATGATAGTGGCGACAGTGCAAGGAGTGTGCACTAACTCAGTCAGTTCAAAGGTCAGTGTGTACACCAGTGGAGTCTCACACAAAAAGGCTTAAAATGCTGAGACGATAGAAATCAGTTTCAAAAAGGATTTGAATGCCAGGGACAGAAATAAGAATTCCAAATTGCTCTTTTTTAAGAGTGATTTTTATGCTTTGCTACATATTGTGCTAATGAAAGGTCAGCATTTCAAATCTACCAGCTGCTTCCAGGGAGAGGAATGGGCAGTCTCCTCACCTAACGATTTACAGCTTCAGAAACCTGATGGAGGATCACTGTCAGTCAGAATTGACCAGATGGCCATGGGTTTGGTCTTGAGTGAGGATGAATTATCAGAAGCCTGTTGATATTTTAGAAAAGGTGTGAGTGGTTTTTTAAAAAATAATCATCTGGTATTGGGGTGGCTAGATGGATGCCTGCTGGGGAGTCAACTGTATTGTCAGTTCCAAATCGCCTTCAATATGTTGTTTTGTTTTTTGAGAGGGATTGGAGTGCTGAACTGAAAGCACAAGTTCCAATTAGACCAGTCAGCTTGGCAGTTGTAAGAGAACATTGACTTTAAATAAATCAAGGCCGTGGAAGACATTGTGGAAACAACAGACAAAGCATCAACCAGTCTCTTTTCCAATGGAGTGGAAAGCTTGGCATCACGGGCAATATTCAAGGATGATTTCAAGTCTGTAGTAATAACCAGATGGTGACACCATGAAAAGAAATGAAAGGTCAGAAAAAGGAACTGTTAGTAATTAATTGTTGGTGGGACCGTTCAGTTGTCGCATATGTAAAAACTGGAACATCAATGGGCAATGAAGGCTGGGAAGAATAGATTTGGAGCTGATCTGCAAAAAATCAAAATTGAAGTCTTGTGATAAGGAGTGTTTACTCAGAAGTGACTCATTCTGATTGATAGTGACAGCATAGGTTTTTAGTTTACTGACTTCCTGTTGTTGTGTACCATTGAGTTAGAACAGACGCATAGCTGAACCGCAGCAGGTTTTCAGAGGCAGTTAATTGCAAGAGAGGAGCTCCCACAGAGCAACTGGTGGATTCAAGCCACAGGCCTTTGCGATTGTAGTACAGTTTCTTACCAAAGGCCACCAGAGCTCCTGTAACATGATAAATACAGAAAATTATTCTCATTAGTATTAGACTCATAAAAGAAGTAAACTGGAAGTTTCCCATAGATCTGAGGTAGAAATAAATAATACCAAGACTTGATGCCCATGGATTCAACTTGACAGTACACAGAGTTGCGGTTGCTGGATGACCAATTGGGAAGCGTGGTAACTCTTCGACAGGTATTTTCTAAGAAGTTTTAAAGCTTTGAGGACTTTCTATAGATACAATGCAAAGGATTAGAAAAGTAGGGGCTTCCAAGGCTATAAGTTGCACAGGAGGAGATTCCCCAGCTTTCTCCGGAGAAGCCACTGGTTGCAATTTAGAGTTTAAAAACCCACTGGAAGGTGGTGGTTCCTATTTGATGGTACGTAATAGTATGGTACAGCAGAGGTCTACTCTCCTCTATGGGATGGATCCACTTTCATTTTCTCTGAATGTCCCTCTTAATAAATTTTCAGCTGTTTTTAGTTAAAAAAAAACACGAAGACTAGGGTTCAAGCCTATTGTTTGTTGTTGTGTACCTAGAGGACAGACCCAATGCTGCCCCTCGAGTGGGTTTTCAGAGACAGTAAATCACAAGGGAGAATAGTGACCGTTCTTTTCTCACTGAGCAGCTGATAGATTAGAATCGTGTGCCTTTAGAATTGCAGCACAACTTTTTGCAGCTAATTCACCAGAACTCAAAGGTTCAAGCCTAGGCTTTGATTAGTTAACAGTGGATTCTTGGAAGCGAGTTCCGGTGGCCTAGTCCATAGGGAGTAATATCCAAGCTGACCCCTCTTTGCTGGTTCATATCCACAGTGGTTTGCTGGAGGGTCATCTGTGAATCAGTTCCAACTCTCGGGCAATGGCTTTTAGTTTCTTAGATGAGTTTGTGTATTGTTAACCTATAACTGCCATACATAATAAAGGGATCTTAATATTTGCCCTGCTGATTTAAGAAGTTTGTTCTAAAACTTCAGGGTATCATAGAAATGGTAGTTTTATTTTTTAGGAAAAGAGTTGTCAGCCTCTTAAGTTTATTTTCTTTGCTTAGTGACCCAGGGACTAAGTCAGAAATAGATTTCCAATTATTGTTTCTCTACCAGGAGGCAGTCGTCAGAACAGAGCAAGGGAATACTGCATGGTTCAAAATTGGGAAGGGCGTACGCCAGGGATGCATCCTATCTCCATACCTTTTCAACCTATATGCAGAACAGATTATCCGGGAGACTGGGCTCTATGAGGAGAAATGTGGGCTCAAGATTGGTGGACGATTTATTAACAATCTGCATTATACAGATGACACAACCCTGCTTGCTGAAACTGAAGAGGACCTGAAGCACCTGCTGCAGAGGGTCAAGGACTGCAGCCTCCAATATGGATTGAGGCTCAATGTCAAGAAGACAAAGATTCTCACCACTTTACCAGTTGGCAGCATCAGGATGGATGGTGAAGAGATTGAGATTGTACACAGCTTTAGTTTGCTTGGCTCCACAGTCAATACTCTTGGCACCAGCAGCCAGGAAATTAAAAGGCGCATTGCCATGGGAAAGTCTACTGCTAGGGACCTCTCCAAAGTACTGAAGAGCAATGGTGTCTCTCTGGAGACTAAGGTGCGTTTGATACAGGCCATTGTCTTCATAATCACTTGTTATGCATCAGAGAGTTGGACAATGACCAAGGAGGATAGAAGGAGAATTGATGCCTTTGAGCTGTGGTGCTGGAGAAGAGTATTGAGAATACCATGGACTGCTAGGAAAACAAACAGATTCGTCCTGGAGAGGGTTAAACCGGGTGGCTCCTTGGAGGCAAGGATTCTGAGGCTCCGTCTGACATACTTTGGACATGTTGTGAGGAGAGACCGGTCCTTGGAGAAGGACATCATGCTTGGGAGGGTAGAGGGACAGCGCAGAAGGAGAAGGCACTCTATGAGGCGGATTGATTCAGTGACTGGGATAATCGGGATGGGAGTGTCAGAGACAGTGCGATTGGCACAGGACAGAGCAGAGTTTAGGGCTGTTGTAAATAGGGTCGCTATGAGTTGCAAGCGACTCGACAGCACATAACAACAACAACAACCTTGAAGTAAGGCTACAAGTCCAAATGATTTTGTAGCTTTAAAAAAAAAGTCCTCTTGCTTTTTGTAATTGCCTCTTGCTTTTGTAGCTAAACTTTATTTTTTAAAAAAGTATTTGCTTTGTGTTTTGGATTTCTGATTTTCCTGTTAATGTCTCTTAATTTTCCTTTGCAAAATTAATCTGCCTCTCTTAATATCAGCTATCTAGTTTCTGGGAGCTCTGGTGGCCTAGTCAGTGGGGACTTGCACTGCCAACCCGAGGTGGGCTGTTTGAATCCACTAGCAGCGCAGAGGGAGAAAGATGAACAGTTTCCTTCTGTGCAATTTATAGCTTCTGAAAACCCGTCAGAGGGTCTATGAGTTGCTCCCAATTCATAGTAAGAAGCAATAAGTTTGAGCTTTGGCTTTGACTTTCTAGTGTTCTCTTGTTTGGTTAATTGACAAGTAATTATAGCTTTTTAAAAACCCTATAGTATGGCTTTTATGATATAATCCTTAAAACAAACTACAACAAGAAAACCGCAGTCCTCATTTTTAATCATTCAATGGAATTTTGTATGTGGCCTATGAAATGAGCTGGCATATTTTAAAACCGGTGGCCTGTTCTGAGATTTATAATTAAAATTTACAGGAAAAGGAAATGAATAGATAAGAAAAATACAAAATATACATGCATCCCTATGTTGTGATTGAAAATAGAACAAAGGAAGACATGATCTTTAAGAGAAAGCTGATAGAGAAATATATCTCCTTTACTTGAAAGTTGAACATCTGACAGCTGAATCCAAAGCACTGTTCTTTTAACACCATCCCGAATAACTAAACCAGAGCATGGTTTTCATGTTTCAGCAAGTACAATAAGCTGTGCCGAGGCCAAATGAACCTCCCTGGAGGCCTCGACAGAAGGAGGTGCCAGGATTTCAGTGTTTCTTTTTCTGGCTGCCAATGTTGGATGAGTTCTTCCTGCTTTTATTTCCTCAGATGGCAAAAGTGATTTCTCCAACCCTGCTAGACAGTCAAGAGTCTAGAGGTGTCTAGGGACAAGGATTCTCTCTTTGTTGGTGGCTTCTGACCAACTTCTCTGCCTGTCCTGACACATTTTCCTGCCAGTCCATCCATGTCTATTTCTCTGCTCTCTAACCACTCACTGCCTTTCATCCTCTCTCCGTTTCCTCATCACCTACCACTACCTTTTTGTAGTCTTGCTTGGGAAATTGAAGAGGCTGGTAACATTCTTATCATCCATCACAAATTGAGATAATGGCTACTACCTGTTAAGGTATGAAAGTCATGAGTTATTGTTTATCCACTCTTATATTCAACAGGTTTTTCCTGAAAGTCTTTGATGTATCTAAATGAGGTCTAAACATTGGGTGAAAACGAAAAACCAAGGTCATCTAGACCAAGTTCCGTGTCCTTATGAAACTTACATTCTAATAGAAAGAAACAGACAATAGAAAAATACACATACTAATTTCAGATCTCATAAATGTTAAAAGGCAAAGCTAAGGATTTATGATAGCAAGTAATAAATAGATCACTGCCTTGAGAAAAAAGTATCAAATTATTTTAGACTATGTAAATGAAGCATATCTTGCGAGTCTGTCTGTTGTTCGCACATAATTCAGTCATTGAGAATGTAAAGAGGAAACACACGTGCTCTAACCTCTCTTTTTTTTCTTCCTTTCTCCCTAGGCGGGTAACAGTTCATGTTTGCTTCATAAATGAAGCAGCTTAAAACAAATTCATATTCTGTCTGGAGTGACAGACTGCATCTTTATCTGTTCTTGCTACCCGTGACTCTATAAGGATGATTCAGAAATTGGAACCAAGTGTTTTACTGTGAAACTGGCACTGAATTAATCATCTGTAAAGAAGAACTTGCATGGAGCAGGACTCTATTTTAAGGACCTGGGGGACTTGTAGTCTCATTTAGAACTTGCAGCTGACGTGGGGGAAGAAACGCACGCGTCCTAGACTGCACGTCCCGTTTGCATGCCTTCAGAAATGTCTAACTGCTGAAATACCGCAAAGCTTTACTTCTCAGTTTCAACCTGCAGTCGTAGGTAACCTGGCCTCTGCAAGTAGATTTCAGCCTGGAGAAGAGGGGGAAGGTAGCGTTTTTCCCTCAAAGGGATCTAGAAGAAAGAATTTTAAAAACAAAACAAAAACTCAGTTGCATCAGCCACTGTGCAGTATTGAAAACAGTGGGAAAGAAGTGGTAGAAGTAGGCAACAGTCAGCCTTGTCGTTGCCAATTTAAAGGTAGAGGTCTGACCATGATCTCTTTTTGACAAAACCATGCCACCCATATCTCACTAGATGAATGGACGTGACAGGTTCTGTCCTTGTGGGGAAGATGCTAGAGCAGTGATGCCGTTGTAGAGTGAAGACAAGTTAACCTAAGAAGAAGCTGTGGATGGACACTGGTGAAGCCTGCTTTTCCCATGACCACTAGACAGTGTATAAGTTGTGTTTGCAGAATATATCGCCAAATGTTTCTGTTCTAAAACCATTACAGAGTTGTGTAAGAGACCTTAGGAGAAAATGCTGAGTGCATGAAGGTCTCATTTTAAATTTCCACCATGGGAGACAGTGAAATTTAATTATGCTATTTTATATCTAAGGTGAGAAAAACCACACCCACTCACTTCATATGGGTGTTCAAAACTAGGTTACTTGACTTTTAAAGAGTGCAAGGAATCTGGAAATTTTAGTTATTTATAGTATAATCACCATTATCTCTCTAAAGGATCCATTTGTTTAAAATCAGGCACTCTATATTCACTAAGGTTTATGAATTTAAAAATAAATAAGCAAAAAGAGAGCTTTATATAGCTGTGCATGGCAGTTTGCTATTTAAAATGTGTGACAACATTTCAGCTTATGAAGAGTGGATTTAGCAGAAGTACCAACATGGACACAGGTTTTGAATAAGAACTTGTAAGTTATTAAGTGAATTCCTGTCAGTTGTATTTTTTAATAGTCACTGAAACATCTGGCTAAAGTCAAAGAATGTTTTCTTATAGTTTATTTTCATGAAAGTCCTATGAACAGATATGTAAAGGAATTCAAAGCTTTCCAGTCTAATTTAATCTTAGAATATTATTGCAATATACTATGGTCACTATCAGCCCATTTTCAATGTAATCATTAAAAAAGGGCATAAAAAACTAACTACTAGCTTTCTGTTCATTTCTAAAGTCCAAGTATTTCTGGTGGTGTTGGATTTTAGCTTATGTTTAAAAGCTAATCCAAATATGACTCCAGTAAGTGGCCTTTGCTCTTTTTTTTGTGCCAAAGAGCCTAGACGATTTCCAGACTCTTCTCTGAAGTATTGAGGTTCCTGAAACAGTACTATTTTCTCAATAATAATAATTCCTCAAGGAGTAATAATTTTCAGCGTGGTGCTTTGGAAATTAGCATTCACTTCCCCAGGACTTTGGCTAGCCTCTGATACAGTCAGTTATCAAGTGAGCCCAGATACCAGTTTAATTGCTGTAAGGGACCCATCTGAAGGTATGGCTTTGAGCGTTATGAGGAAAATTGACACAGGTTGACATGAGCTATTTGCATAGGTCCTGTCTGGGTTGATAATTCTCAATTGGATAGTGTGATTTCTTTAACCACTGATTTCTATTTACTGGGACATAGAAAAATGCTATTAGCTTGAGCATTCAAACAGGCATGTACGTGTGTTCACAAAGCTTGTATTCTGATTTTAATACTCAAGAATGTGGATCTAATCAATCTAGTTGAATACGGAAATTCTTCAGCAGTGAAATCTGGAATGGAAGAAGAGGAGGAACATGTGTTCTGCTTAATTGAAAGTTTAAGTTCATAGAAAATTCCATGGACCAATTTTTAAAATGCCAAAATTCAATAAAATTCGTGAAGGGGGAAAAATACCATTATTTTGAAGATTAGCTACTTGGGCATTAACTATGTCATATCTGCTTTGAGGAAGTAAATCCATACATATCTTTCTTATTATATATCATTTATATTCAGAATGTCTTCCTTCATGAATCACAAGAAATTCACAACTACATTCTAAACTATACAGTTGCCTTTCAAATTGGTACCATGAATCTGTTAGTCTTCTCAGAATGTTTCAGTTACCTTTTTAAATGATCTCAGTAATCCTGCAGATTCTAAATTAGACAGAAAGCTTTGCACCTCTTTGACAGAACCCAAGACTATAAAGAAACTGGTTCTGTGATAAATGGTGTCTACTTAGCAATATCCAAGTGTTCCTGGATATTGCATAATAATCTAATATGCTTACCGCACTGCCATTTTTTAATGAGTTAGAGACAAATTGGTTTTTTTCCACTACAATAATAGAACCAGTAACCTATGCTATTATGATGAAAAAGTATAGGTCCATAGTGAAATGTTTGCTCTTCATAAGAATTAAACTCATTTCACTGAACATTTAAGTACTTTGGAGAGCCTTTGTGGCACTTTTTAGTACCGCAATTCAATTGAAGTTTTAAATTAAGAGAAAAATCCATTTCAAAATAATCTGTTTTTCTTAATGTTGTTTTGCAGCTAAGTTTTGGCTTCTAAATTTAATTTCAATATATGGCTTTCAGCCACTCTATATCTGTTCTACTCTAACTAAGAAGTTTGTTTTTTCAGAAAGGCACTTTGGCACAGTGGCATGAATGCTGGGAAAATTGTTAGGTGCCTCACTCTGCCACTATTGGTTGTGGGTAAATCATCTCTTTTTCTTGAAGCTTAATTTTTCACCCTTTTTAAAATCTGAGGTTACTCTTAAATACAAAACTTACACCTATTCCTCTGTGAGACCTAAATCTATCCCACACAAAATATTCAGCTCTCCTCTCTGTGAATAAGCATCTTGACCATAAAAAGTCATTTCTGTTCTTCTTACTAATGTAAATAGGGTCCATTAGTAAAAGTGAAATCCATCCTCAAGTAGTGTGAATTGGATAACCATTTACATAAGAGATGGCTTTTTCCTTTGCTTAAGTAAATGTTTTGGCTCGCCTATGAAGAGTGAAAACTAGTAGTACATTTTAGTCAGGAAAAGATACTGAAAGATGTGTGTGATATTTGGAAATGAACTAAGTTTAGTATTTAAATACTCTCACGTTATTAAAAGTCATTAGTAGAAAAAGAACAAGATACAAAGGTTTTGATTGTCACTGATATTTTAGAATCAATTTGGAAAGGAGATTCCATAAATTGTACTTTAAATCTGAAAAATGGGACCAAAACTTTAAACTAGCTTATCTTTGAGAACATATTCTTTTGAAATTGGCTTTAAAAATGTAAACATTTAAAAAAATATATAAACATTTAAAAAATATATAAACATTTAAATTGAAATTCTAAGTAGCTCACTTGTTTGATAACTGTAGCTCACTTGTTTCCATAGCTAGTTTTAAAATGCCTTTTTAAATAAAGATATAATAATAGTACTTTATGAAAGTGTTTTAGGAATAATCTGTATTAAAATGGGTAGTAATGATCCCAAAATGTTTACTAAGCATTGTAAATTTATAAGTGCCATCTCGAACTACATCTTTTTGATGTTGTTTTAAAAATAAATTTAAGATAATAGTTGTTTAAACATATTTTCAGTTACTTGATTTCTAAGCCCAAAACTCACTAAATATAATTTTTCAGTCAAAACATCCTCTTCTTATATATTCTAAGGATTGATGTGTGATTATAGTGTCTATTTGCCACTATTTGTTGAAATCAGTGGACTTGAAAAGTATTCAGACATTTAGATGGATGCACAGATATATTGCTAGTTCAGTTATAGATTGGAGTTTGCATATTGTAATGTAAATGTATGTCAACACTATACTAAATAGTTTTATTATGATTGAAATTTAATTAAATAAAAGGTTGTAAAATGTGATGTGTATGTGTATATACTGTATGTGTACTTTTTAAAATAGTTATATGTGCTGATCCTTTTTTATACAGGTTTGAATTTGAAATTACATGATATATACATATACTTTATTGTTCGAAATAAATAATTTTATGCACTCTCCTAAGTTTGCCGTCTTGTTTGACACCATAATGTCATCATATATGTTCTGAATGTGGCTGAATATTTATTAAGCTAAAATCAGATGTTTCTCTGGAGATTTACCATCAATCTAGGTTTTAGATAAATGAACACCAGGGATTACAGAATCATCTTAACTCAATAAATCTTTTTAATCACTGTATTAGTTTCCTAGGACTGTCATAACAAATTGGGTAGCTTGAAACTATATAAGCATGTTGTCTCAGACTTCTCACTGTCCACAGATCCAAATTGGAGGTACTGTCCAGACTACACTGTCTACAGGCTCCCCAGATGAGTATCCTCACCTCTATTTTCTAGTGATTCTTAATAATCATTAGAAAAGGTTATAGCTGTATCACTCCAGCCTCTGCTGCATTCCTTTCTATGTATTGTATCTTTGTGTCGTCTTTCTTCACTCTCGATTCCTGGAGTTCTTCTCCAGTGTTTTCAGTGCAGCGTGGACTTCATCCTGCGATTCCCTTGGTGCGTAATTCTGTGCACCTCCTAAAAGGGCTGATCCCTCTTGTTGAGTTCTTCCTCTTTCTCACTGATCCTCTACTTTACCAAATAGCCTGTCCTTTCCCAAGCATTTTATTCTCCTGATAAAATGCTCAAAGTGTGTTTCTTCATCCTTCTCAGGAGTGTTCTGTATGTCATTCCTCTGGGGTAGATTTGTTGGGTCTTCTGTTAGTCCATGGGATACTCAATGTTCTTCCCCAACACAATAATTAAAGTGCATCAACTCTTTTAGGTCTTATTTTTTGCATTGTCTTGCTTTGGCATAATAGTTTCTATTGTTGTGTACTATCTCATTGGGATCACCGATAGGTGCCCCCCCCCAGGGGATGTCCAGAGGCAGCAATTCCCACAGGAGGAGATTGTCCATCTTTCTCCCATGGAGAAACTGGTGGATTTTGAACTCTGTATCTTTGGGCTGGCAGTGCAGCTCCTTCCCATTAGGCCACCAGAGCTTCCTTAGTTACTGAATAGACACTAAAACATAATCAAGGATGATTAAGTTGCATTAACATTTTTCTTACTCTCAAGTGTCTTTTAAATAAGTTGGGCAAGAGCTGAAACCAAATGTAGTAAAATCACATACAGTCGTACTGAAGTAATTATCTAGGTGCAAAAGTAATATTTAAAGTCTTAGAGGAAGGGGGGGAAGATACAGGGGAGAAGAGAAAGACAGATTATAGTAGTGATGAGAATTATATCTGATCTGCATGCAAAATATTGCTGAATATCATCCAACAGAGA